CGGTAGCTAACGCCTATAATCCTGGCATTTTGGGAGGCTGAGATGAGAGAATTGCCTGAGCCCACGGATTCGAGACCAGCCTGGGCAACTTGGTGAGACCTCATCTCTACAATAAATCAAAAAATAAACTGGGCATGGTGGCACATACCTGTAGTTCTGGCTACTTGGAAGGCTGAGGTTGAAGGACCACCTGAGCCCAGTAGGTTGGCGCTGGGGTGGCCATGGGCATGCCCCGGCACTCCAACCTGGGCAACAGAGCGACTCCGACTCAAAAAAAATGGACATAAAAGGAAAATAAATCTATATGTCATATATACGTAATACCCTCTCATCTATATGGAGAAAATGTTTCCAAATTTTGTTTTCAAAATGCCAAAACCTGACGCTTTGTTGTTGTTGTTGTTGTTTAGTTTAAAATAGTTTATCCATGCATCACCTATTTGTCTAAGCACAGTGTGAATCTAGGCTCCAGGCACCAAAGAAATATTTAAGGAACCAAAATGTTCATTCTGTGCAAATGCAAGTCAGACATCAATAATAATTAACAATGAAAGGGACAAAGAGGTTTCCCAGGTCTGGCCTCTCAGCAGAAATTCTCATATGTGAGCTTGTTCCCACCTGAGATTCAAGGCTCTTCTGCCTCCTCGAGCACTTCTACACACATATGTGAGGTGGCTTCAGAAAATCAAGCGACTCTTCTCTACCGTGAACTGAGCTGGGTTAGGTAAAGGAAAACCGGCGGGGCTCGGTGGCTCAGCCGGTCATCCCAGCACTTTGGGAGGCCAAGGCGAGTGGATTGCCTGAGCTCACGGGTTTGAGACCAGCCCGAGCAAATTGGCAGGACCTCGTCTCTGCAATAAAAAAAAAATTAGCCGAGCATGGTAGCGAGTGCCTGTAGTTCTGGCTACATGGAAGGCTGAGGTGGAAGGATCAGTGGAGCCCAGCAGGTTGACACTGGAGTGGCCATGAGCATGCCACTGCACTCTGTCTAACTCCAACTCAAAAAAAAAGAAAGAAAAAAGAAAAACTGTCATGCTGGTGAATGCAGAGACAGAGCCTCGACAAGCAATCCCACCTAAAGGCAGAGTTCACTGTGGAATGCCAGACTGAATGGTCACATAAAGGCAACAGGTTTTGTGAAGATTTCCTGCCCATACCCACTGGTAAGCAGCTTTGGCTGCTGGGTCCTGACTGTCTTCTAGCTATCCTTCCCCAAGCATTGCTTTCTTCCATCCTGTGTTACTCCACCAAGCTGGTGTGTGTGTGTGTGTGTGTGTGTGTGTGTGTGTGTGTGTGTGTGCGTGTGCGCGCACGCGCACGCCCTTCCTGTCTCTCACATGCCAAAAGATGTGCCTCTTCAGATGCTGTTTCTTGGCCAACATCCTGTTTGGATTATTGATAGAGAGGCTGGATATTTGGAAAGCTCTCATCTTTGAACTAGTTCTCAGGCTACAGTTTTGCAAACTGCAGCGCGCACACCCTTCAATATTTATGCTCCTTCTATCGACACTAAGTAAATTAGAATCTGGAATACCTGGATTATCCAAACCATCTGCTTCACTGCATTTTTTAAAATGAGTAGGTGAGGAAAATTTATGAGACTTTTCTCTTATCTCTTGTTGCTAAGGAAACTACTTTTTTTTTTTTTTTTTTTGGTGCGGGTGATCCCAGTATCTCAAAACAACCAGGGCACAATCTTCCTTTCCCTCTTTCTTCAAATGAAATCAACATCTTCCCTGGAGAGTTTTCTCCTCTTTCTCACTGGCCACTCAGTCTCCAAGGGCATGAAAAGATCCCAAGGGAGTTGAAAATACCCCAGATGAATTTTTGCTCTGCATTTTAACAGCTAGTAGCAAGCGGAGGAGCCCACAAAGTTTGCCTCACAAAACAAAATGATCGTTTTCACTAGGTGTGTTTTATAAGGTGCTATTTTGTCGTTCATGCGCATAAGACTCTGAAGAAAAAGACCCATCCTGCCCATCAAACTGGAAGTCGTTTTCCTGAAAGAACCCCTTGTGTGATGAAGACGAAATAAAAAATAATTATGTTCAGCTCCACGGGGCTTTCTGCCTGAGAACATAAAAGAAGATCCACAGGCAGAGGGAAAAACTGCCCACGGTTTTCATATCCTCAGGGGTCTTGGAAAACATTACTCTTCCACGTAGGCAGCCCGCATTTTACCATAGGAGAGAACACACTAGAAAGAACTTCTGAAATATGACATTTGTGTGCCGTGGGCTTGCTTGTTTCCGTGCAGCGTAAATTGCCATTGGCACATTCTGTACTAGGAAGGCAATTGTGCCCAGAACGGAAAATGACTGTGGACCACCAAGTGATTTGCATTCTACTTTTGGAGGCAATCAAATTCCACTCCCCAGTCCACATCGCATTTGTGTAATTCACTTATGAAACACTACTTTTCATTCTCTTTGAGCCCACAGCTGCTGAGAAGGGAACTGGTGGGGTCCACACCCAGCCTCAAATTCTCTCCTACACAATCCCCAAAGGAGAGAATTTTTACACACAGTAAAGCAAGGGGACTCTGATGCTGAACGGGGACAGACCCTAACAGCCTCCCTTAGTGTGATGTACCATAAAGCATTCAAAGAAAGAAAAACTCCGTGATCCCAGTTGAGGATGGCAAGAAGAAGTAATAGTTGAATTGGGGATTACGAATGGTTGAATTAAAAAAGACTTTGTTTTGACATTCTATTCATAGTGTAGCTTGTTAGAAATACATATTCTCAGACCCCACTCCAGACCGAAAGGATCAGAATAATGGAGTGGGAAACAGGTGTCTGTGTTGTAACAAGTTGCCCAAGGAGACTGGTGCACACTTAAGTCTGAGAACCACTGGTTTGGGTTGTTAGGGTCCTACACACTACAAACCCTCAATGTCCTCACTTATGTTACTAATTAACTACTAGTTAGTTATTGTATAGACAAATCACATACACAGGGACACCTCTTTTTATTGCACTTTGCTTTATTGTGTTCTCAGGTACTACATTTTTTACAAATTGAAGGTTTGTAGCAACCCTGCATTGAACAAGTCTATTGGCACCACTTTTCCAATAACGTGTGCTCACTTTGTATCTATGTGTCACATGTTAGTAATCCTCATAATGTCTCAAACTTTTAAAATCATTATTTTTAAAAAATCATTTTAAAATCATTATTATATCTGCTATGGTGATCTGTGATCAGTGATCTCTGATGTTACTATTGTAATTGTTCTGGGGTGCCATGAACCACATCCATATAAGATGGTAAACTTAATCAATAATTATTATGTGTGCTTTGACTGCTCCAGGATAGGCCGATCCGGGTCTCTCTTTTTCTCCTTGGGCCTTCCAATTCCATGAGACTCAACAACATTGAAATTAGGTCAATTAATAATCCTACTAAGACCACTAAGTGTTCCAGTGAAAGGAAGAGTTGCATGTCTGTCATGTTAAGTCAAAAGCTAGAAATGGTTAAGCTTGTTAGTGAGGAAGGCATGTCAAAAGTCAAGATAGGCTAAAAGTAAAGCCTCTTGCACCAAACAGCTAGCCCAACTGTGAATACAAAGGAAAAGTTCTTAAAGGAAATTAAAAGTGCTACTCCAGTGAACAGACAAGTGATAAGAAAGCAAAACAGCCTTATTGCTGATATGGAGAAAGTGTGAGTGGTCTGAATAAAAGAGAACCAGCCACAACACTCCCTTAATTCAAAGGCTATTCCAGAGCAAGGTCTCAACTCTCTTCAATTCTTTGAAGGCTGAGGGAGGTGAGGAAGCTGCAGAAGGAAAGTTTGAAGTTAGCAGAGGTTGGTTCATGAGGCTTAAGGAAAGAACTCATCTCCATAACATAAAAGTTCAAGGTGAAGCAGCAAGTATTGATGGAGAAGTTGCAGCAAGTTACTCAGAAGATCTGGCTAAGATCTCACTAAAAGGATGAAGGTGGCTACATGAAACAATAGATTTTGAATATAAGTGAAACAGCCTTCTATTGGAAAAGGAGCCATCTAGGACCTGTATAGTTAAACAGGAAAATCAACACCAGGTTTCAAAGCTTCTAAGAAGAGGGTGACTCTTCACAGGACAAAGGACTCTGTTATTGGGGGCTAATGCAGCTGGTGACTTTAAGTTGAAGCCAACGTTCATTGACCATTCCAAAAATTCTAGGACCCTTAAGAATTATGCTAAATCTACTCTGTCTATGCTCTATAAACAGAACAACAAAGCCTGGATGACAACACATCTGTTTATATCATGGTTTACTGAATATTTAAAGCACATGCTGAAACCTACTGCTTAGAAAAAAAGATTATTTTCAAAATATATCCTGAATTATACCCCACATCTTTAAAATAAAATAAATTTTTAAAAAATATATTACTGCTCATTGTCAATGTGTTTGGTCATTCAAGAGCTTTGCGGGAAATGTACAAGGAGATGAATGTTGTTTTCATGCCTGCTAACACAACATCTATTCGACAGTTCAAGGATCAAGGAGTAATTTTGACTTTCCAGTCTTATTATTTAAGAAATATATTTTGTCAGCCAGGCACAGTGGTTCAAGCCTGCAATCTCAGTACTTTGGGAGGCCAAGGCAAGAGGATTGCCTGAGCCCGTGGGTTCGTGACCAACCTGGGCAACGTGCTAAGACTGTGTCTCTACAATAAATCAAAAAATTAGCTGGGCGTGGTAGCGTGCCTGTAGTTCCAGCTACTTGGAAGACTGAGGCAGAAGGTGAATGCTGGAGTGGCCATGAGTGTGCCACTGCACTCCAGGCTGGACGACGGAGTGAGACTCCAACTCAAAAATAAAAATAAAAAATAGAAAAAAATAAATACACTTTGTAAGGCTATAGCTGCCATACATAGTGATTCCTCTGATGGATCTGGGCAAAGTCAATTGAAAACCTTCAAGAAAGTGTTCACCATTCTAGATACCATTAAGAACATTTGTGGGGAAAATGGTCACAGCTGTCCAGGATTCACATGTGAGTGTGGGGAAAAAGCTAAAAAAGCCCCCAAAGAAGAAGATGAAAATGGTAGCAAGAACCGTATCATCGGAGCTGGAAGACGAGGCCAAAGATGCTTCAGACGGCGAAGGTTCTATAGGAAGCTGTGGATTGGAAAAGGATTACTTTTCTTCCGATGATGAAGCAATAGAGGTTGACAATGAAGATGATGTTCAGCCCTGTGACAAAGAAAATAAAAATGCCGTAGAATCAAGTGTTGGGACTAATACAGGCTGGGCAGATGCCATGGCTAAAATCCTTAACAAAAAAACTCCTAAAAGTAAATCCACCATTCTGGTAAAAAAAAAATAAAGGGCTGGAGAAGGAAAAAGAAAAGTTAAAACAAGAAAGAATAGAGGAAAAAAAACAGCATGATAAGAAGCTGGAGTGGGAAATGTTGCACAGAGTAAAGCCAGATGTTGTCCAAGACAAAGAGACAGAAAGAAATTCAGAGAATTGCAACGAGGGGTGTGGTACAATTATTTAATGCTGTTCAGACACATCAAAAGAACGTTGATGAAAAAGTTAAAGAAGCTGGAAGCTCTATTAGAAAGTGTGCTAAGTTGACATCAACTGTTTCCAAGAAAGATTTCATTAGCGTTTTGAGAGGAATGGATGGAAGTACAAATGAGACAAGTTCTACTGTGAAGAGTCCAAAAGCCAAACAGACTGAAGTGAAATCAGAAGAGGCCCAGGACTGGAAAATCCTGTGTGAGGATTTCATGATGGGAGCATCTATGAAAGACTGGGGCAAGGAAAGTGATGTACCAGATGACAGCAGACCAGAATCTGCAAGTGACTCTGATACATAAAGCATTGTAGAAAATAAAATTTGCAATCATTTTATTTTTTCTAGAAAAATAATTCATCCTCTGATAGGTGGGGAGTTATAAGGATACCACTTGTAAGAAAGCAAAAAGACTTTTACCAGCTTTGGTATTACCCCTTTTCACTTACACTTTATTAAAATTATATTTTTCAACTCTTGCTTAATTTTAACCATCGTTCCTTAAAACATTTGTAAAAAGAAATATTTGTGCTTTACCAGCGAGGTATGCATTTTGCCAGGATCATGGTGGTCATGTTTATTGGTGTGTTTTTCAGGATCACCAGTGTTTCTAGAAATGCAGTATCAATTCATAATTAAAATAAACTCTTTGAAGTTCATGTTTTTCTTCCAATTTATAGGCAACAATTTTTTGAGAACAATTGATATATTTTTGTTTGTTTGTTTGGGGATGCTATTGAGAAAACCTGTGTAGTAAAATGTAAAGTTATATACTATTTCTGATTTGGGGTAGTCATTTTAACTTTAGATAATCTGGCAAATATGAACCAACAGATTTCTACTTTATATTGTTTCCTTTTACTACATAATACAAATAATGACTGAGATTTAAGTGTTAGGCTGTTTTTGCAGGAGAGATTTAGTGGGGTGGAAATTCTCATGATTCACTTAGGCAATAAGACACAATATCTTAGGAAGCGTATTTGATATGTTCTCTCTCTCTCTTCTTTTTTTTTTTCCTCTCAAATATTTGAGTTAGCTTAAATTCTCTTTTATGAACTGCCCAGCCAGTGAAATGATGGAGTTCGACAAGTAATCTGCAGCAGAATATTACATCTGATTTGAGACTTGGTTCCATATTGTTGCCTTAAAGTTTACTAAATTGGGTGACTTGTAGTATCTAGTTGTTAAAAAGGGGAGGGAAGGACTGTTTAATATCAATCCAAAATTTCTGTGAAATGTGCCCAAGATCTAAAGTTTGTAAGGGAACTATTTAATAAATGTGATCTGTTCTTTTCTGAAAAGAATCTATCTCTTTCACCATCTTTCCATAATAAAAACAGTTGTCTCCTACCACCCAATTGCACATACTTGCATCTGTTGTATATTGAGGGATAATCCTTCCCCCCAAAACTGTGCTAGAGCAAAAATGTTTATATTTTTACACCTATTTGAGTGTTACTGTATTATATGACTAAAGTTAAATTAGTCCATGGCCTGGTATTTATCATAAAGGAAGGTGTACACTTAAGATATCAAGTGGTTAAAATAGTAAAAGTTACAACGTATTTTTGTATTCTAACTTTTGAATTTTAGTGTCTTTTAATATAAATAAATGTGAACAAATATTAAAAAAAAAAAGAACATTCATGACTCATGGGCAGAGATCAAAACATCACCATTAACAGGAGTTTGGAAGAAGTTGATTCTAATTCTCATGAATGACTTTGAAGGGTTCAAGATTTCAGTGGAGGAAGTCACTGCAGATGTGGTGGAAATAGCAAGAGAACTAGAGTTAGAAGTAGAGCCTGAAGATGTGACTGAACTGCCGTAATCGAATGATAAAACTTGAATGAATGAGGAATTGCTCCTTATGGGTGAGCAAAGAAAATGGTTTCTTGAGATGGAAACTACTCCTAGTGAAGATGCTGTGAACACTGTTGAAATGACAGCAAAAGATTAGAATATGACATAAACTTAGTTGATAGAACTGCAGCAGGATTTAAGAGGATTGACGCTAATTTTTTTAAAGAAGTTCTGCTGTGGGTAAAATACTATCAAACAGTATCACATGCTACAGAGAAATCTTTCATGAAAGGAAGAGTCAATCAGTATGGCAAACTTTGTTGTCTTTTAAAAATTGCCACAGACTTCCCAAACTTCTGCAACCCCCACCCTGATCAGTCAGCAGCCATCAACATCACGGCAAGATCCACCACCAGCAAAAAAGATTACGATTCATTGAAGGCTCAGAAGATCATTATCATTTTTAACAATAAAATATACTTTAATTAAAGCAAACATATTGTATCTTAATAGACTACAGTATAATGTAAGCATAACTCTTTTTTTCTTAGAGACAGGGTCTCGCTCTGTTGCCCAGGCTAGACTACAGTGGTACAATCACAGCTCACTGTGACTCCAACTCCTGAGCTCAAGCAATCATCCAGCCTTGGCCTCCCAAAATGCTAAGATTACAAGCAAGAGCCACCACATCCAACCTTGGAAACATAACTTTTATATGCACTGGAAAATCAAAAAATTATTGTGACTCGCGTTGTTGCAATATTTGCTTGGTTGTGGCGGTCTGGAACCAAATCTACAATATCTCCAAGGTACTGTATTTTATTTCTGGTAGCATGTATGATCCATCCAATCACAGAAATGCAGACCATATTAAGCAAGATCCTATTTAACATGCATTAATTTCATAGACTCCTTAAAGCAGATCCCCCAAAAAAGGAACTATTAAAGGGAAAAATAGAAAGAAATTATGCTGCCATTAAACAAAGCACTTGAAAGGAATAAGTAAAATATGAAGAAATGTATCATAATATTATACTCGAAATGCAGAATACAGAATTATATATGCAATGTAATCACAAACTTAGTTAAGATACAAATTTTAAAAATTAAAAGACTAGAAAGAGATTCACTAAAATGTTAGCAGCCAATATCTTTCGGTGATGGTGACAACAAGCAATTTTGTTTCCCCCTCTTTTTACTTATTTCTGTTTTTCATAGTTTTTGGTCATAATCATGGAGGTATTTCTTTTTCAATGGAAAAATATATTTTAAGATGCACATTAAGGCATAACTAGTCTATAGCTTGCTAATGCAAAGATAAAGGTCATCATTTTTCACGGCTGTTTCTATTCTGGTTGACATACTCTAGATATGAAGCGAAGCTCAGTCACTCTTGGATTTGCTACTAACAGTAGACACAGCGATATTATTTTACTGGACCATCCTGTGAAACATATCACACACATTAGGAAATGATCCTGAAGGTAGAGAAATACATGAATTTTGGAAACACATTCAGTCTATAGCAATGTCTAAGCCATGGAGAAAGAACAATGGAGAGAAAGGATGATCTGTGGGGGGCTGAGAAGTAAAGACATAACCAGCACAAAGTACATGATGTGAGATACACCTGGCAGATTGTGGAGCATGGAACACTCCCACCCCATGCACACTAGCCCTGTACTCCATCCGCAGAACTCCATGGGAAGTCCTTCTCTTCTTTGAAGACTTCTCACTCTGATTAATTCCTAGACTTCGCTTCACATCTATTTTTAAAGACATTTATCACCACATTTTCACCTTCTTCCTTTGAAAAAGAAAAAAGGAAAAAAACTTCACATTCTGAAAAATGCTTTGTCATTGCCTGAGAAGATAAGAAGTTTCTCCAAAGTAGTAGCAATTTTTTTTTTCATTTGAGCAGTTACTCTATATCCTGCACTCTGTGGAGTGCTTTCATTTATGCACTCATTTAAGTCTTGGTAGAGTGAAGTGGGAGCTCTCTCTCTACTTCTCTCTATGGATGAAACAGAGAAGCTGACATAGAAAAGTTTTCTTTTTTTTGAGTTGGAGTCTCACTGTCGCCCAGACCGGAGTGCAGTGGCCGCTCCCGGCCACCGCAGCCTCGACCTGCTGGGCTCAGGCGATCCTTCCGCCTCAGCCTTCCGAGTAGCCGGAACTCCAGGCGCGCGCGACCACGCCCGGCAAAATTTTTGATTTATTGTAGAGATGAGGTCTCGCCAAGTTGCTCAGGCGGGTCTCGAACCCGCGGGCTCAGGCAATCCACTCACCTCGGTCTCCCAAAGCGCGGGATTATAGGCTGAGCCACCTAGCCCGGCTATCTGGCTGAGTTATCTGATGCCTGCACCCATTTTCGTATTTGCCCCACACACACAATGGGGCAAGGAGAAAGTGAGCTGGTGGATCCTCATTGCAATCAACTTCATCAATCTTCTGGACGCCGGATGGGAACAGCACCTCGGGACCACCCTGGCTCTGTCCCCTTTTCTTTCTCTTCATCGAAAAAGCCAGAAGCCCAAACCCGAAATTGCAAGAGAAGGAAACAAGGAACGAAATTACTACCTCACCTCTCAGGACTGATAAATCTAAATCGTCTATTTCTTTGTCCTTAGCATCACAAATGCACACTCCATGGCTTCAGCAAATCTTGGACTCTCAGTAGAAAACAAACGCCCAAACGTTACACGTTCAATTAATGCAGGTACCGATTGCTTTGTTGTTCAGGAAGGGGAGTGGCTTCCTTTAATAGGTGGAGTGAGAATCACAAAGAATAAATGCAGTTTTCTGGGATGACTTAAAGAATTACATAATTCTCCTACAAAGTGAGAATGCTAGAGTGTTCGAATCATCCTGGGGGCTTTAAAAAATCCTGATGCCTAGGTCATAGGTCAGATCACAAGATCATAATCTCTAGGCAGACAGGGATAGGGACCCAGGCTTCCACATTTGACTCTGGATTGTCATCACCAAGAAACTTGAGGTGCCGTGAAATAAATGCAGAGATAATAACTGGAAGAGAGCTGATGAGTTTTCAGGTGGTTTTCATTTACATTCAAGTTAGGGGAAAAAATCAATTATCTCTATGTCCTAATTATACTAATTTTTTTTTAAATTTGACTATATTTTACACAAATAGTACTTACCAAGGAATAAAAAGGAAAGGCTTCATCCAATTATGATGCTCTTATCTCTCTTTATGTTTTGATTCAGGCCCTAGAGCAAAAATGTCTGCCCTTTGTTATTTGTAAAAGGCACTGAAGAGCCACCCAGAAGAGACACCACAAACGGGCCCTCCCTGCTGCCTCTGCCACCTCCCTGGGGAAGTTTTTATCTGTGGAACTTGGTTGTTTTGAACTTTATCTTTCCTTTGAATGACTGTTATCTCTATTATTTTTCCAAAGAGAACAGAGCCCTTCTAAAAATTGTTTCAGTTCCTAGAAAAGAAAAATAAACATTTTCTCCAACACTTGCATTACAAATTGCATTTCAAACCCAATGGGAAAGTCTGTTTATTTTTTATTCAAATTACATCAACTCTTTTCTAGAAATAAATTAAACTCCAGTCCCCTACTCAGCTCAAAAAAAAAACTTTCCAAAACAAACCAGGGAGATACTTATGCATAAATATATCCTCATTATATATCTG